GTGAATGGAGATTCTAATTTTGTTTTTTTGATGATTAAGTTTGAAGTTGATCTATTTAGTTTTATAAAGACTAAGGGCCTGTTTGTTTTTTAAAATTTTCACTTAATTGCCTCTTAACTCTTAATCGGTCAGACATAAGTGATTTTAGACTGTTTTTTTTTTTAAATTAAGAGCTTTTTTACCTCTTACCGTTCTCTTAAAATTAAGTGGGAATCCTATGTCTGAAATCAATTTCAGAGCCGCATCCCATCTCCATCCCCATCTCGCTCTCAACTCTCGATTTCTCTATCTCCATCTCGATCTCAACTCTCGATTTCTCCATCTCCATCTCGCTCTTCCATCTCCATCTCGCTCTCAGCTCTCGATTTCAAGGTCTCGCTCTCAGCTCTCGATTTCAAGGTCTCGCTCTCAGCTCTCGATTTCAAGGTCTCGCTCTTAGCTCTCGATGTCAACAGCTCACGATTTTTTGACTGCCTCTCCGTCCAAGCTCTCGATCTCTCGACTGCTCTCGATGTCAACAGTTCACGATTGTTCGTGTTTATATTGATTCAGATTTCAGATGTAAAATCAAATAGTCTGACTGATTCAGATTTCAGACGTAAAAACAAACAGTCTGACTGATTCAGATTTCAGACTTCAGAACCACCTTTTAAAATTCAGAAGTGAATTCAGACTTCAGCACCTCTTAAAAAACAAACGCCACCTAAGAGAACATTATTAAGTTTTAAAATTTATAAGTGACAAACTTAAATTTCATAAATTTCAATGGTTGAGCTTAGTTTGAGCTTGAGAAATAGTTATCGAGTTTGATTCGAGTTTAGTTCAAGCTTGACAAATAGTTATCGAGTTTGATTCGAGTTTGAGTTCGAGCTTGAAAAATAGTTATCGAGTTCGAGCTTGAGAAATAATTATCGAGTTCGAGTCGAGCTTTGATTTTTACTACTCGCGAGTTTTCGAGTCGAGTTCGAGCTTGGAAATTGGGTTTCGAGTTTAAGTCGAGTATAGTGATATTCGAGCTCGACTCGCATCATTTACACCCATATTGGTAATTCAAGTGATATCGTTGGAAAAACCATAATTTTAGAAAAACAAATTTGATATTGTTTGATGTTATTAAATTTTATTAGGTGTCATGTTAATTTTTAAAAGGAAACACATTGTTCGATTTTATGTATTAGATATTATGAAGTTAGGGGTCATTTACCAAACACTTATCCGGTAAGTTTTTACTGGTAAAATTTAATATTATCATTTACTCACTGAGTAAGATTTTTGTCAACAAAAACGACATCATATGCAATAATTTACCCGGTAAAAACTAACCATGGTAATAGTCGTTGTACTCACTTAATGGGTAAGACTATCGGTCATTGTCTCGCTCTTACCGTGTAAGATTCTTTGTTCTTACCATATTCATTCCCTAAAAGTAATTTTTGAGTTGGTAAACGCTTACCCGAATAGGTGTTTGGCAAACGGGCCCTTGATTAAAACACTAGTTTTTTTTAAACAAAACATAAGATCTCAATAGTTTGTATTTTTATTACTAAAAGCGTACTCGCACAGTGCCGCAAGATACATATTCATTTTAATGTTTCGCTTTATTTTTCGTCTCTGTTGATATAATACGATTTATGTGGTTTTGAGAAAGATAATGTTTTTTGCTTTTGAATAAACATAAATTTGAAGACAGCATAAAATTTTGAAAAAAGTATATCGATATTAATATCAAACTAACTATTTTAAACTTCTCGTTTTTTGTATAATTTCTTTAATTCAATTTTTTACTATACTTTAATTTAGGTCAAAATGAATTAATTTATTTTTGGCTTAACAATAAATTTTTTATAAAGATAATGATTCCGTTAAAACTCAATAATTATTTTAATTATATTTTAGATTTTTTATATTTAAAATGAGAGATTATCTTGTATTTGATTATGCTTATCTACAATTAGTTATACGAATTAAAAAATAAAGCTTTAATAGGTTGTACTTACGTACAATTTACTTGTAATCATAAATTTTAAGTAATATGCATTAATACACAGTACTTCATGCATAAAAATGATTTTTAAGAATTTTTGTCAAATGCTTTATAATATAGCATAGATAACTTCAATAACTGGTCGGATTTGAATGTAGTTGCTAAACAGATTAAGTAAATCTATGTGGCATTAGATTAAGTAAAATGAGTCATCAACATTTTAGTCATATTCAATAAGGATAATCATTTTTTATTGAATTAAATATTAAAAAGTTATAAACAATTGAGTATGTTTTTAAACGACTTTTAACTTATTTCATTTGGTTTTTAATCTATTTTAATAGCCTAAATTGTTTTCATCTCGTATAAATGGTAAGAATTAGGATTCATAATTTGGCTCGACACTACTTATTCAATCTATTCTGTTGTTGAGACTAGCTACGACTTCTTTTTACGTCGACTTACAAACTCTACTAACTTGAAAGATGGAAACAAAAAAGTGTTAGTCAGCAGAAGATCTGGAACAATCCCTCTTTTAGTTTGATACAATTAATAGTTGAAACAAAATAAAAAACAATTTGATTATTTAAATTAAGAAAATAAAATCAGTGAACTGTTTTCGTATATACAACGATGTACATGTTCCTCGTTACTACTTACGATACAGAACTTTCGACGACTAAAAATTTGTTATATATATTTTTTTTGACAAGAATTAAAATTTATAACTTATATTGTATAATGTATGATATAAATTCTATACATCAAGTTAAACACTATAAAACTAACTGATACCAAAGAATGTGATTTTCAATTTTTTTAAGAAAAATTGTATTGATTTTTATTTTTCATTAAATTAAAGTTTTACATTCCAACCATAAATCAATGGATAAATTAAGAAACTAATATTTTTGATAATTTGACTTAAAGTCATAATTAAAGGGCATTTTAGGTATTTTAAAATTTTTATCTCTCCTCTCTCTCTCTCCTACCTCCGGCCTCCGATGAACACTACGTTATACCCATAATACACCAAGTTACACAATGTGATACTCAAAACACACCACGTAAACTTTGAGATCGTTGTGATACAAATTGTGGTACCATTGTGATACCAACAAGATGACCGAAGGAGGTCACCGGAGTGGTTGTGGTGCCGGAGAAGGTCACCAGATTTGGTCCCTGTGTAGCCGTGTGTGTGTGTGTATATATATATATATACACATATATTAAAATAATTAAACTAATTAAAGTAAATTGAATAATCAATACAATTTACTAATTTATCATTTGTTTTATTTTAGTAATAACATTAATTATTTAAAATGATTGTCTCATATTGGACCTCATAGTTACCATAAATTGTCTAGTTCTCATTTGATTAGGTCTATATATATATATATATATATATATATATATATATATATATAAAAGAATATAATATTTGTACCGTGTACTTCAATGATGACAAGTTCACAACTCAATATTATTAATCAATTAATGGGTCTTATTCATAACTTAAAAAATAGGATAAAGAAAGCGTAACGCATGCAGTTTAGCTGAATATGTGACGAAAACACACCAATCTATTTCCATTAATCTACAACTAATAAGACATTAATGATATGGAAAGTAAATGATATTTCCATATATGTTTTAGAAATAATTAATGTTATATTATAAAATAAATCGTCTAAACATAAAAAAGTGCACCAAAAGCAAAAAATTTATCTTTTTACGAAAAATTTAAAAATAGCATTAAGTCGTAATGTGACAATTATTTCAGCACGATATCCACTTTCTCAGAATAATTATCTATAATTCAAATATATGTTAAAATTAGATAGATAGTAACTTTGGTAAAAAAAATTAATAAAAAATTATATTCTTTCTCCAATAAATTATTTATGCTATATTATAAAGCATTTGACAAAAACTTTTAAAAACCATTTTATACGTAAAGTACTGTTTATTAATGCATATTACTTAAAACCCAAGATTGCAAGTAAATTGTGCGTAAGTACAACTCATTAAAGCTCCATATCTAAATTCCTGTAACTAACTGCAGATAAACATAATCAAATACATGATAAACATGTCATTTTAAATATAAAAAATCTAAAATATAATTAGGATAATCATTTAGTTCTAACAGAATATTTAATTGTTATCTTTATAAAATGTTATATTATTAAACCAAAAATAAAATTTTTCGTTACTAAACTTAAATTAATATATAATAAAAAATAAATTAAAAAATTACATAAAAATGAGAACTTTTAAATAGTTGATTTGATATTAACATTGATATATATATATATATATATTCAAAATTTTATTTTATTCAAAAATAAAATCATTATTGCTTTCTTAAGAACACATAAAATCGTATTATAACATCGATATAGACAAATAATAAATAGAACATTAAAATCGAAATGTGTCTCGCTGCATTGCACGAGCACTCTTCTAAAATATATATATATATATATATATATAAAATAAATAGAGAACTAAGAAAATGTAATTCTCTAAATTTAGAAAACTATTTAAAATTTAATATTATAAAAGATGATTATATTTTTAATTAATTATTACTTTTCATCTCTAACGTTTTTGGGATGTTCGTATTAAATATATTAATGATGTAATTAATATTCGAATCTTTAAAATTAGGAAAATCGTTAAAATTGAATATAATTTTTTTACAAAATTTGGTTGCCTATTTTGTAAAAATAGTATATAATCAGTTGTTTATTAAACACTTATCCAAGAAATATTTTTTTAAAATGAAATTTTAGTATTATTTTATACTGTCACGAAAACAATTTGATATATATAAGTATATATTTTGAATTTATGGTGTTAGAAAATAAAACAAAGAACCTGTAACTTTAACGCAGTGACTTTTACGTGTGTGTGAAAAGGGCATCTGCGATGATAATAATAATAAAGATGATGGAGAGCAGATGAGGAAGAAGTAAATAGATGGCCATGGCTATCGCTCTGCTTACACCAATTTCAGCTGCTACGGTCAAAATTTTGGGACCCACTCTCCCCTCCATCATTAACTACCCGACGAATTAACCGACCCGAATCCCTCCACCTTCATTACAATATCCTTCAATTCAAATAACAACACAGAGATCTACCCAGATATTGTGTTTGTTTGTGTGTTTGAATCTTTGTACACGAATTTTGTTTGCAGATCAGATGGTGGGATGTTGAACTTTCTGTATGAATTTGATGTGTAAACACAGAAACAAGTGATTTCAGTTTACTTCCATGGCTGCTGCCTTCTGTTCTTCTTCGTCTTCTTCCTCCATTACTGCTTCCCTCTCTCCTCGTCCTCATCCTCCTTTCACCCCTGTAAGTACTCTTCTCTAGGAATACACTCTTGGTTCGTCGTCTAATGATTCTGTTTTCGATTTTCCTTTGAAATCGCAAAGGGAATCAACTCGTTTGATGTTAGACAGTGAGGTTGTTATAAGTTTTTTATTATTATTTAGATTTGTGGTTTTTCATCTGTTGGTTCTACCAATTTGACATTTCTATGCATTTGCATTAATTCGGTGTTTTGATTTCTAATGATTCTGTAAATTTAGTGCCTGGAGAAGTGTTCTTCATTGTGATTGTGAGAAATTTTGTTGTTTCTGATACTTTTCATGGTTTAATTTTAGGGTTTTAATGTTTTTGCAGATTCAGGAATGTGAAAGAGAAGGAAAAGAAGAAGATGAATCTTGTGAGCAAAATAGTGTAAGAGCTACGCCAAGTGATTGTTCTGAAACCAACAAGGAATCGTATTATGTTCATCAACCGACACCTCTCCACCACAATAACCCCAAAACCACCGTCAAATCAACGAAAAAGAGATCGGAATCATACGATGCCGGAAAGAATTCCGATGACCGAGGGGTGTCATGTAACAAATGCAGACCAAGTGCTCGAGAAAAGTTCTCAGTGGTCCCACTTGATACCACCACCGTCGGCCGTCACTCCACCGCCAGCCCGAACGGATTATTCAAATCAATTTTCTCATCTCTCGTGAAAAGAAGTCCGAGATCCGCGTCATCGTCGTCGGAGGGGTTGATGGCGGTGCCGGGAAAGGAGGAGCAATGGAAGGGTGCGGTGGCTGAACTTTCTCATAAGCTAATTCAAGCTACAAAAAAGCGCGATGAAGCCATTCTAGAAGCTTCTAGATTGAAATTCTCCATGGCCGAGCTTGAAAAAAAGCTCAACAAACTGGAAACGTACTGTCATACTCTGAAATCAGGACTCGATGATTGCACAAATAAATCAACCACCATGAAACACGACCCAATCAAGATCGGTGATCATGACAGAGTGATTGAACATTTCCTGGTATCAGTATCAGAATCTCGATCATCGATGAGGCATCTCAGCCGTTCTTTAACCGTGCAACTCCCACAAATCGCCGGAGGAAAGCTATATGATCGTATACAATTACTTCTTCAACCATATGATATCAAGATTTCTGTATCAACAAACCCCAGAATCATGCTTCTGTACCTTGAAGCTCTCCTCAACAGAGCATTTTTCGAAGATTTTGAATCACCCGGGTTTCAAAAATCCGGGTCGAACCATACCCTCAACCCGATCCACAGATGCGAACGAAATTTCAAATCTTTCATTCATTTAAAGGAGTTAAGTTGGGAAGAAGTTTTAAACAAAGGCACCAAACAATTTAGTGAGGAGTTCAGTAAATTTTGTGACCGGAAGATGAGCGAGGTTGTAAGCATGTTAGGGTGGACCAGGGCTTGGCCCGAACCGCTTCTACAAGCATTTTTTGGTGCATCAAAGTCTGTGTGGTTGGTACACCTGTTGGCTAACTCAGTACACCCAGGACTACCCATTTTTAGGGTGGACAAAGGGGTTCGGTTTGATTCGGTGTACATGGAGGATATGGGTGGAGACAAGGCGAAGAAGTTCATTTCGCCAACGGTTCGAGTCATGGTTGAACCCGGGTTCTACATCTATGGAAATGTGGTGAAGTGCAAGGTCATATGCAGGTACCATAGCAACAATGGGTTTATAAATGTTTCCCCAAATAGTAACCCTTAATGATTAATTAACTTTGGTGTAGTTTGGAATAGTGTTTTATGGTTTGCCTTTTAGGGTTTCTTGGGTCAACTAAAAAAGGGTTTTTTATGCAACATAGTTGGGTTTTGGATACTATAATTATTAGATTATGGGTCAAAGGGAAAAGGGTTTGTGGTTTCTTGTTGCTTTTGTTCTTGTTGGAGATGGGTCTATGTGGCTTTTAAAACCCTAGGGAGAGAATAATAAAAGTGCTTTGGATTGGAATCCAAATTGGGTGATATGATGATGGTCTTTCCATTCTACAGTTTGACTTGCTTCATTTCTATTGTCTTTTATTTTGGCATGAACTTGTTCATTGGTTGCAGTTTTCTTTTCTTTTTTTATCATACAAATGAGACATAATGACAAATAGTACCTGCTTCATTCCAAAATGTTACTTTTCTTTATCATCAAAATTGCTTATTTCTTATCAAATTGTTTGAAAATATCATCTGATAATAAAACAATGAAACATCATGACACTGCATCTTTACCCTTTTTGGTCCCTGGGTTTATGTTCTTTTTCAAATATGATCATATCAATTTGTTATTCCTTTACAAGATGTTAAATGAAAGGAAATTTGTGTTGGCTTCAAGCGAGAACGTTGATCAAATAGGAAAACATGAGAATGACCAAATCATTTGTGATTTTACGTTAAAATCACAGGTGATTCATGTGTGAGTTGATCCGTAATCGCATGTGATTTCAGTGGAAAATCACATTTCATTTGGTTGTTATTGTCTTTTTCTCATTTTGATCTTGTTCAAACGGACCTAGATAGATGATATACAAATAAGTAATCTTAGCATCAAAGATTTATAATAAAAATATATGATTTTCATGGATTATGCATATGAAAGTTTCATCTTTGATATACAATGTTCATTTTATAAGCTTTATATATAAATGTAATAAATATATATAAAAACTTGGTTCATTTGAGATCGGGTTTTTTTTTCACAATGTTATATTGTGAATGTTCAGTTTTATTTTGTGGTCTCATGAAAACAGACCGATCTCATGTGAACTCAACCTCAATATTAAATCTTGGGAAGGAAGTACCAGAATTAAATAAGATTTAAGTGTGAATTTTGAAATATCTTTTTTCATACATTTTATCAAATGGAGGTCAATGTTACAATAGTGAAATACAATGACATTTCATTAAGATATGGTGTAGTAACAGCAATTGTTATATATAACATAAAGTATACATTTATAAAAATATTATTGACTTGAACATCTGATTAATAAATTTATAATGGAAGTCTAATCAACCAAATAATTTTAAGGTTGTTGAGAAATGTGTTGTTTTTTAAAAGGAATCTTTTTAGTCAAACTCCAAGAAGCAAAACACTAAAACATTGAGTCTTTTGTTGGATTAATGTTTGCATGAACATGGGACAAGATCAATAATTGGAATCTTGCAATTGTGCATATTGGATAAGATAGACTCCTTGGAATATCTTCACCTTCGATTTTGGCTCAACCTTTGTATCTTACTTCCTTGTTTTCTTCTATCAACCTTTTATGCTTTTGTTTTATTTATTGATTTTAAAATATAACACGTTTTATTTAAGAGTTGTTTGGTTGATTTTTCATGTATGGATAAAATTGTCTGTATGAACTAATCTCTTTGCATAGATTTTTTTTTTTTGTTTAGGAGGGTTTTTCCATAGATGAAAGGATGATTTTTTTTTTAATTAGGATACCATATTTGGAAAAGACTTAGGGGTTGTTCGGCAGTTACTGAATGATTTGGTACATAATAATTAAGTGGTCAGAATGATTAAAAGACTCATATGATATAGTGCAAAATAAAATACAATTCTTTTGTAATTGTTTATAATGAAATTAGGATGCTGGATGGTTAAGGGATGCCTAGGATACAAAATCATTTAGAGAGTTTTGAAATCATTAAGAGGCAAACTTTTTTTTGCCAAACAAGATTCACCTCTTAACGGCTCAGAAGTTGCCTCTTAATGGAACTATCAAGAGATAAACAAACAACTCCTTAACTTTATGTGTAAAACTCTCCCTATAAACTTACTGAATAAGTCATTTTTTTATCATTAATCCACTACCACACAGTTATGTACAACTGACTAAATAAACTATGAGTTTCATTAAAGTCATTATACTACTAACAAACATACCCTTGATTCATTTTTATTTAAAATCTTTATCAATAATAATAATATTTCTTGATAAAATTTGAACATGTATTTTATTAAAAAAATTATTGCTACACTAATTTTTCAATTAGACAAAAATATTTATATTTATTTTTAAAAGAATAGAAAAGAAAAGTAAGTTTTTGGTGGGCTTTGATTGAGAGAGACTGGTCATACATCCATTGGGAAGACTCGACCTGCTTTAGGGCCCAAAGGCAACATGACTTTCATTTTCATGCTTTTATTTCCGAACCTTTTCATGTTATTTACCCCATGTCAATGTAGGAATCAATTATTGGCTTATAAATAATGGATTCATGGCTAAATATTTTATGTAATTATGTTATTTAATAATAATAAAAAATATTTTTGATTATTAATTAAATATTTTTTGAAATATATGATAATAATATCAATATTATTGATATTTTATAATGTTTGTCGATCAAAAATCTAATATTTCGAATTTAAATAACATGAAAATAATATAATTTATAAATACATATTGACAAAGCTGTTTTGGTGTGGTATAGATATATTACGGTTCTAAACAGTGTCATTATTTTGTTTTGTAGTGTGATACGGTGTCACTGTTGAAAAAGTTAGGGTTTCACCTCTATATATAAGAGTTCATAAAGAGGGTATTACCAAATTGTTTGATATGCGACAGGTTTATATATGACTTTGTCTTGTGGCAATATATGTTTTCAATGTCCCGTGTAAATTTATATATCTTTCTAGAAGCTTTAATTTCAATGAAATATGTTTTATAATTGAAAGTGACTTCAAATATGAACTAAAAATAAAACTATTGACCTTTAATCAGCCTCCCTTATTGGAATAATACTTGACTAGTTCCAAATTGTGTTGAAATAGTGAATTAGTCTTAACCATATTTTCGTTATATACATAACATTTTACTATATATATATATATATATATATATACACACTATCTTATAAAGCATTTGGCTAAAACTCTTAAACCCGTTCATCGCTATCCGATTTCATCCCATATCTGAATTCATGTAACTAACTGCAGATAAACACAATCAAATACATGATAAACACCTTATTTTAAATATAAAATATAAAAAATCTAAAATATAATTAGTATAATCATTAAATTATAACAGAATACTTAATTATTATCKTTATAAAATTTATAATATTAAATCAAAAATAAATTGTTTTATTATTAAACTTAAATTAAATTATAAAAAAATATATATTCTATATTATAAATCATTTGACAAACACTCTTAAAAACCACTTTTTATGCGTACTGTTTATTAATGCATATTACTTAAAACTCAAGATTACAAGTAAATTGTACGTAGGTACAACTTATTAAAGCTCCATATCAGAGTTCGTGTAACTAACTCCAGATAAACACAATCAAATACATGATAAACATCTCATTTTAAATATAAAAAATCTAAAATATAATTAAGATAATCATTGAGTTCTAACATAATACTTAATTATTATCTTTATAAAATGTTATATTATTAA